AAATCGGCAAATTAGCATGGAGTGTCTCATAAACAGGTTAGGGTTAGGGTTACTACGTGAATCCATGCTACTGGCTAGCTTGCCATTTACAAACCACCCCATCAGCTAATGTCACGAAGCAACCAATGCCAAGCCGACACCGCACAGCCAAACTAAGAGCCAGTCGGCTAACCTTTGACTGAGCTTAGACTACAGTAAGCCAGTTGGATGCCCCTGCCTTGCATTACTCTTGGCTAGTAGGAAGCTATTATGCTGGTTAAAATCCACCATTGGTCATAATACACAAGGTAGTATCATGGCTCATGTTAGCTGGTAGAGACATTTTGCAAACTAACATATTCCACTAATGTATCTATTCACATAGTATTTTGTGGTTACTTTAGCAAGCAAGCTAAGATTCCACCGAGCCATGCTAAATAATGTTACCTGGCGATGGCCGCCCCGCAACGACAGCTGACAAATTAATCTGCCAATGGCAACCCGGTCAATTTACCCCAGATCTAAGACAATATTTTCTGCTTTGGTTTGGCACTTGGACAAAAACTGGACGTCATGAAGGTTCATCAATAAGCTTTTACTTACTTGGCTGCATGTTGTGAATATTTTTTGACTGACAGGTATAAGGATTTTACCAGTGGTTTTCTTCATTAGTGAATAAGACAGTCTCGTCTAATTCTGTATCTCGACTATAACAGGTACCTATATCCTCAATGGACCTCTGGTGTCTGATTAAGCCGGCAGATGCACTTACAGCTTTTATTCTTCCCTTCACTTCCATGGGACAAATGAGAAATGATCTGAGCATTTTCTTTATTCTTCTTTTTCACAGATTTGTTTCCTTGTTCTTCTGTGACAATGGTAGGGAGGTGTGTAAAGTACATATGTGAATTTACACCAATAGACATACTGTACACCCATAAGCAAGAAGAGAAGAGAGAATGAACAGTGAAAGTGTAGACCAAAGAACTCAACAGGGATTTCTCTTAATTCTGTAGCAAGCCAATTAATCTGCTCAGAAGAATTCAAGGGTTCATTGTTTCTTTATTTCCTCCTTCCTGTTCTCATTCCAGGAAAAACACATTTGACCTTTCACCTCTGGCATCTTTCACCATGAGCTGCATAGCTCTTTTCAAACACACAAAACCAATGCAGTTCGTTCTACAGCTCAAAGACGGATCCATTTATAGGATTTTGAAGAAATTGCAAATTTACTTCTGGATCGCAACAAAATGTCCAAATATAGAAAGTTTGACTATACAGAATATATGTTTATGCTGGACCCTAATTTAATTAATGAAAGATTCAAATCCGACTGAATCTGACCTATTATGGTAGCAGCCCCCTTTGGAGTTCTTTTGAAAAATACCAAGATGATGAGCTGAGATGCTTAATTTCCTCCACATTCATAAAAATCACAAATTAAATTAAATTAATTACTACAATTATTACAAATAAAAGCTTTGCATCCAAACTCTACTTAAGTTAAAGTACAGAAGTACTAACAACACAATTTACTTACTTAAAGTATCCCAAGTAAAACAAACATTTAACAATGCATTGTGTTTTTATTGCAACCTTTTCAGAGAACTGTCCGTTTCCTCAGGTCTCACAAAGCATGAATGAACCAACTCATAACGCTTATAAATTGCAGCAAGTAAAACTCACATAGTTTCATGTTAGACACAAGGGGGCCTGGATCACTGTTCCTGCATAATGGGTCATGTTCTTATGTTACTGCTGACATTAATCATCACTTTAGAACACAGTGACCTGCTACAGCTACTCTTCATGTAGTTCAATACATCTGAAAAGTCTGTTGTGATACTGTTGACTCACTACTGCCTGAATGACTTTTCCTGCTACCTGGAATTGGGTTGAATATGTTCTTCATGTGTATCTTTGTGACATAGAGACAGATCTGAAAAAAAGAGAAAGAAATTTCAGGGTTGGGGGTTAGATTCCCACTGAGCCCAGTATGAGAGGGGGGATTCATCCTCATGAATCATTCTGATGGTGTCAGATTTGCAGCCGCATTCAAGCGAAAAAATGGCACTAAAACTATATACTGCTGGGCAGTATGAACTCTAATTCTGTGTACTTCTTTGTACAAAATAGCTTTTGGATCAAAACATATGAAAAAACACCTCTTTGACTCGAGGAACAATATGATCCCTGTGTTGTTTTTATTTGGCTCTTCTTCAGCTGCTGTTCTGTATCTGAGTTTTTTTTTTGTCTTTTTCTGTTAAGCACTTTGTAACCTTGTTAAAGTGCTGTATAAATAATCTTCATCATCATCATTATTGTTATTATTATGTTTGTAGGCTGTACTTGAGCTAAATGCTTACATCAGCATGTTCACAGTGCTAGTGCTAGTATGTTGATGTTTGCCAGTGGCACTAAACACAAACAACAGCTGGGAATATCATAGTAGTTTAGCAGGTATTTGGTCATAAACCAAAGTATGAAGTTCTGATCTGATGATGGTGCTAGATTGTCAGAAGATACAGTTCATCCTCAACTGTTGGACCATGGATTTGGTTGAGATATTTCAATAAAAAACAAAATCCTGGTAAGGCAAATCTTCCTTGACTGTTCTGTCACAGGTACTGGAGAAATGATTTGCTGTTATTTTTAGGGGAAATATTTATCACCGGGGTTTGAGTCAAGTGGGAGCCAGTGGGGTCTGAGGGGTCTCCCATGAAAGCAGTAAAATCATCTGTAGGGGTCTGTGTACATTACCAAAACCATTATTTTAATGACAAATAAGGCATTTTTCGATGTAACGAGTATTGAGTATTATGAGAATTATTTCCGTTAACATTACATTACATTAACCACTACTCTATTAGACTCTGTATTGACTGCCTGCTCTGTACTGGATTTACAACTCGCAAAATGATGCATCCTCAGATTAGTGGAGCATAATGCTCCTACTTTCATATCAAAAAGGTCAGAAGAAGTGGAGAAAGATGCTTTGAGCTGGTGGCTTTAAGATAATTCCTTGTTGAATCTCCCAGCCTCAGTATGTGATAACCTGGGAATGAGACTCCACAGTCAACTATCTTACTTCAGTCAGGACCACTTTTGTCAAAATATCTTATATTCCAAGCAGAATTTTACATTTGGCGGTATGGCTCTGTTCTGGGACCTCCTTGTCCTTCCGCGTGCCTACGTGGAAAACCTTAAGGCAGGGAGAGCACACCTCCCTGCCCTTCCATGTGCATACATGGACAAGTTTAAGACAAGGAGAGCGGCAGCAGAGACCCCCCAGGGTACAGAACAGAGCAAGCATCAATGGCAATCAGAAAATGACATTGATTAATTAGAAACAACATAAAAAGGAGGAGCTGGGGTGGAGGTGGGTGCAAAAAGGCTTGTAGAGGAGCAGCAGAGATAGGCAGGCAGGCTAAAGCAGCTTAAATAAGGCGCCACGTAGATGTTTGCCAATTGGATGCTTGAGGAAATCAGGTGAGCTGTCAGCTGACTGTGTATGGGATCCAATCGGAAGCTTAGAGGAATCAGCTGATGTATGTTTATGACTAGCTATGATTGTATGATATAGCTGTAACTGAAAGCTAAGCCTGACTTCGTGCCCTGCCTGAACTAACGCTATGCTCAATTTGGCTCTGATTGGTTGTTTTCATTCAGGCCTGGTGGATTCTTGCCAATGCCATTAGGAGCACTAGGAGGAGCCAGAGGAACTGATTTGTTCACAAATTAGTGTACTACTGGCAGCATATAATTAAAGTTTCAGCAAATATGACAAAATGTTATTTTTATAAAAATTACCTACTGCAGCTTTAATACCACTAATGTAGCCATTAGTTACAACTTATAAACCCTTTATTAGAAGGTGGTGTGGGGGCGCCCCGTTAGCTGAGAGCTGGTGACCCATGTATGGGTTCAAGTCCGACCTGCGGCCCTTTGCTGCGTGTCATCCCCACTCTCTCTGCCCACCTTTCCTGTCTATCTTCAGCTGTCACTATCCAATAAAGGCAACAAAAAGGCCAAAAAAATAACTTTTGGCCACGGCACTCAAATTTTGCTGTCGTCTCATGGTCACAAAGCAAGGTGACATTGTCACACTATGAAAGAAAAGTGTGAATCGTTTTCCCACTACAGTGCTAAAATTATTGTCTTGACTTGCTGCGCTGCTGACAGCGCTGTCAGCAGAGGTGAAGATCACACAGTGTCTGGTCTGGGAGATGTAAGGTTGACCTCCGTGGTGTTCTGCACCAGAAGTGTGAGTCACAAAAAGTTACAGTATGTTACACTCAAAATATATGCGATAAAGCACCTCTAAGTGCATTTGAATTCTAGGATATTTTGTACACCACACTGTTTAGTAGGACGTCTAACACTGCTACTCCAACTTATCTATATGTATTTGGTGCTATCAGCAGCCGCTCCATTTGTTTTTTAACTGTCACACTGTTACACTTAATTCTTGCTAATGGAATGACTAACAGGAACACTCATATCACATCAGGTATAAAAATACAGCTTATGGAGAAATGTTCTACTGCTAATAAAGGAAACAAACATACACACACTCACACACACTGGTACAGTACATGTGCAAACAGGTTTTCACACATACACACAGCACACAGACATATCTACATCCATCCACGCTTAATGATACGTGTATTCATGCACTCAAACATGTATACATACAAACGTATGCACACATCAACACTGACACAGCAATAGACACACACACACACACACACACACACACACACACACACAACACCCTTTCCAATACATTCTTTCATACACAAACATACATACATGCTTTCATAGCTCTCACTGGTGTGTGACAATCCTGTCAACACCAGAGGCCGGCTGAAGAGGAGGAGGACGGAAAGAGAGGAGGAGGCTCGTGCTATGCCAAGTGGTGATTGGCCGTTGCCATACCAACGAGGGAGGGCCAAAGTCAGAGATTGGTGGGGGAGGAGCTGTGGGCTGATTATAAAACCCTCTGAGCAGCAGTTTCCCCTCTCCTGAGCTGTCTGCACTGTATCTCTGCCTCTCTGTGTATTCTTTCCTGTTATCTGGCCAGCTCGCAGCGCTCTGTGTGGAGGAGACGAAGGGAGGGTGCAGGGTGAGCTGTCAGAGGTACTCGTGGACAGGTTGGTCCATTTTACCCCATCTTCCTGCCAAACCGTCTGTCCATCACTGTGTCAGAGCTGCCTGCATCGTGTGGATTTATCTCTGTGTGAGTGACACCTGGGAAGGCGAGGGAAACCTGAGCGGAGAGGCCACGAGTGTGCCACCACTCGCCACCCCCCGCCCCCCGTTCCGTCCCCCCTGTGTGTGGATGACCTGTGCTCTTCTGTAAGTAGCTCTGCTGCAGCCACATCCACTCACATTCTTCATTAAGATGTGTAGACCTCACAGCAAGGGTCAGGGGTCAATGGAGGCAGAGACAGAGGTACATATGTTGCTGATTTGAGACCAAACTTGTGCTTTGAGGGGGGAAATTTGTTCATTATTTTTTAACAGGATTCCTCATTAGCTCACCAGATATCTCAGTGGGTGCTCCAGTGGGGTCTATTAATTGGCCACATTAGTGGGTACTTTTCTTTCTTTTTGGTCTGAAGTTCTATCTGGAGGTTAATGGTGCTTCGTATGTAATGAAATCCAGAGGTTACACTGCAGTACAAACTGATGTAGATTGTATAACACTATTGTCTTTTAACAGGAGAAAGCACATATTGTTCGATACACAGCTATTGGCTATAGCGATAGTTCTTTGCCTAATGGGAATCCAAACTATGAGGTCATGGTGTAGTTAACACTTTTTTATTTATAATAACATTATAATGTACAGCAAGTACAGCCTGAGGATAGATGAGCCTCTTTATTGTCTGAATTTAAAAAGTTTGAAATGTCTTTAACTATTGCAACTGTATTGTTTGCCACTGCAATAACATCTAAGGACACCTGAAACTCCTTCAACCACCCACCGACCCTCTCACTCACTCACTCATCCACCTCTCTCTTTTCTGACGAGCCTCATGCATTAGTACTCACATGTAAACTGACACGGGAACAGTAGTAACGTAGGAGGGGCCACTCAGATATACTGAAGTCTATCCATAACCATTGTATACACAGCACTGTTTACCTACAATATAAGGGCCTGCGAGTGTAATTGGGTGTCTGGTGTTTTTGTGTGTGTGTGTGTGTGTGTGTGTGTGTGTGTGTGTGTGCAGTGTACATGCAAAGGTTCCCTTTTCCATATCTTTGTCATGCTTTGTTGAGTCATACAGAGTTTAGACTGCTGTAGTTCCATTACAAAAATAACTAAGTCAAACAGTCAGTGAGAAGTTGCACTTCTGTTGAAAGTGTTGCATGTTGAACTCAACAAGAAGTCTGAAACAATGTGTTAAGTCATGATCATATTATGTTTTATGGTCTTCACAGGCATCAAAATGCATTGTTAGAGGTGTTACTTTTCTTTTTCATGTTACAGCATGCAGTGTTTTTAATAATTAAGTATCATTTTGATGCAGCTGCAATTTGAGAATTACATGGGCAGATTCTTACTGACCCCAATCATGGCATTGCAACTGTAATCAGACGTCATGATTGAAGCAGTGTACATGGGTTTGTGCAAATTCTTTTCTCACTTTTCCATAATCAAAACACATGGGCAAAGGTATAAAGACTGGATTAAACACTGTGTTTTATCTGCTCTGGTGTAAGCAGTTAATGTTAGCATGCCTTGCTTACTGGCTCACTGCCTACAGTTGTAACCTAGTGTTATGTTCAAGGCCGTTGTACAAGGAGTAGAATACAATTAGCTAACTATTATTTTGTGTGACTACAGGTTACGTCAGAAATTCTCAATAGCAACACTTACCGTGTGGGAGGCAGTCCTGTCTAGGCTAATGTAGCAGCTCTGTCCTGCTCTTTATTAGATTTGGAAAAGTTTTGCTCTGACATCAACCTCAGCCAAACTTGTTACTTGTCCTCATACTTAATTTTTTGCTTTTATAAAAGTGAAACATTGTTTGAAAATGAACAAAAAACCATACATGGAATGCCTGTTTTGCTTGTTCAAGTATTTTCAACAGTAAACTTAAAAACAGGGTTAAAACAAAAAACTAAAGGAAAAAAAACCTCTGTCTGATCTTACAGAACTATAGAAATAGGTAATTCAGAATACAAGAACAAGGGAGGATCTGTTGAACAAATCTGAGGCACTCAAGAGGATAGGGATTTAAAAAGCATGGCTATTTACTATGATTGTAAAGATTTACCAATACGGAATTTGGTTTGAACGTTACAGATGCAACTACATCAGTACACAGACCCCTGGATTGATCTAAATGTACCTCCAATTCCCTGGTATTATTTAAAATCCATGTATTTATCAGCAATGTCCCTTTTTATAGAATTAGCTTATTTTAATTTAGAATGGAAAATAGATGTCGAAGTTAAACAAATGTTAAGAACTGAATTAGATTCCATTGTATTGCATCAAATCACACCAAACTGTTCCATATTAAAATGCATCGTTCCTGAATCATATCATAGCTCATGTATCTACATATCAGATCGTCTTAGAAGGGAACAATGCTCACCTCTACTATTTACTCACAGTAACAGTTAAAAACATATGAAACAATGAAGACTTGCATGGCTGAAATGTGTAGGCATGTAGTTTATCTGTTTCTCTGAGTAAACAGCAATGAGATATTAACACCTGTTTTTTTACACCGTCGAGTGGCACTCCACGCAGTTTGTATTGTGAGCATTTATGCAGATCTATTGGCAGAAATGGAATATAATATTGCTTATTGTATCCTTTCATTAGTGTATAATCACCTGAAAATAACAATCGTTGTGTTTTTCTTACATGAGAATGAGTCTTTTGTATCTACGGAGGGAGCAGGTCCTCTTCCATGGAGTCCACCATGTTGAACTACCATGTTTCTACAGAAGCCCAGAATGGACAAATCAAACACTGGCTCTGGAGAGGGCCTTTCACATTTTTTGGAAGTCACTCTTAGACTTTTGAAAGGCTGAGCTGTATTCAAATGGTTGTAATTTGCAATTTCACCGCTAGATGTTACTGAATACTACACACTGGTCCTTTAACGTTACTCCCTCAAAAATAATAAAGTGGTAACTTGCATACATGCAACGCTAAAATGCATAGCTTGACAGTTGTAGTGACAGTGAGGGACAAAGATGTGTTTAAGCAGTATTTGGAAGTAAATCAAATAAAATAGGATAGATAGGATAGGATTTGGTAGTTTTAAAAACAAAGATGTGACTGTGACTGGCAGCAGTGTTTTATTTCAAATGTTGTAGGCTTTTACTTCAATAGTATTTCAAGTTAAAGCCCCTGCAAGAAACTTTAATTTTGTGTTAATTCTGGCAGCCCTTGTGAAAAAAACAGTAGTATTTCTATCACCTCAGTTCATTGATTTCAAGGGGAATTCGACCGACTGGTGGCAGGCATTAAGAGTAACTATATAGAAATAGCCTGTCCTTTTACTGATGGTTTTGTTTGTTTATGTAGGCCATATAGAGGCATGAGTATTAAATTGAGACTTGGTTTCATAAGCAGTTAAAAGCTCCTTGTAGAATGTTTAAATACAGAACAGAATTTGGGCTACTGTAATATGCTAAACATCAAAACATCATCTATCTAAACATTTCATTCTTGCTGTCCTTTTCAGTATTCAACATTATCAGTCTTTGCCAGCTTTATGTCTTAATTTTGGTTTTCGAATTTGGTCATACTAGACACAAGCAGAGCCCATACCTACCCATGATAACAGTACAGTTTTTTGAACTGTTGAGACACTGACAATGGTTGTTACTGTAATTTTCAGCCAATCGTAGCAATGGTTTGCCTCAGCACGCTGCAGCTGAGGCACAATAGTAATGTTTACATAAGCAGTTTATTATTGAGTCCCTGATTCATCACACAGCCCCCGGGCCCATTCAGCCTTGATAATGTGAAGATAGACCCTTCCATATTCGACAATAGCCTTGGCACCAGCACTAACCACCACTCACAGATGAACAAACCCATGCAAACATTGGGTCAAACAGACCAAATGGAAGACAGTTTGCATTTCACACAGCACCAAGACCACTGGCTACTGTGATGAAAGGTTCAATGCTTCAGCAAGCAAGCGTCTTTTGTGATCATAAATACATCATCTCCATAACCTGAGACGCCATGGGTCTTTACTGCACATCTATGTTATGCTACGATGGCTGTTTTCTAGGGATAGAGCCTGTTTCCCAAACAACACAAAGATCACCGACATAAGATATGGTGGCTCAGTCACTGTTGTAGTGTTTTCTGTGTGAACACTGGCTGTGTGAGCAAACATGAGTGTGCTATTTGCAAGTTACTAATATTACAGAATTTCTATGCAAAGCACTTTTCCTCTTATTGTTGCCAAAATACAAAAAAAAAATTTGTACCAAGGAACATTGTGTTCCCAGTGTGTTTCATCACTTTCTACTTTTTAACTACAAAAGATGAAAACTAACTATATCATCACATTAATGCTCTATTTTACTGTCCACTGGAGAGTACTTCTCAATAGGTCAGTGAACAGTTGAATAAAGTGGAATAAACCCACAGTAACACGAGCAGCTGCCAGTGAACATGCACACAATTTGCCCAAAACAACACTCTGGCACACTCCTCAGTCTTACAGGATGCCCTGCAGAGGTTTCTTAAGGTTACATTCAGCGTTATTCACCAAACCTTAATGTGTGAATGCATTTCAACATTTGCAAAGCCGATCCTTATTGGTGCATTGTTAACATGCATATTTACTGATGACGGATTGTTGGAGCATGCGATGCAAGACAAATTTACATGTGAATGGACAATAAAGTGTTATCTTATGAGATCTTATCTTACTAGCTTGCTTCTTCACTGCATTTGTTGGTATGTTGGTATACTGCTTTGCCTGCTAGTGTAACAAATTCATCTTAGCTCACGGTTATCTTACACAGTTTTCAGAATATCATAAAGAACATGGTCAGATACTGTTCTTGAGTGTATCAGCAGCAGCCACATGCTCCATCCAGCACCACTGCTGCTGCCAGGGTCGCATTAAATTACTAAAAAAAGACCTAAAGGACCTAAAGTGTTGCTGGGCATGCTTTCCTCGCTCACGCCTAGTACGCTTCAAAAGCTCCTCACAGGTGGGCGGGCGATGTATTCACAGCCGAGCTATCCAGCTCATTTAAAATTATCCACCCTATGTGAGGCTGCCAGTGCTTTATATAGAATAATGTTCGTTTCAACGAACACTGGACAAACACAAATGTTGTGACAGGCACTGGGCAGT